CCGCTCACTGCTGGGCCGTCTACAAGCCAGGCCTCGGCTGGATCGAGGGCAGGAGCCCAGAAAGTGAAAACTTCCGGGGGCAGAAATCCAGGGGGGCTCGTGCAGTGAGGGTGCTGCAGCCAGGTGCACTCAGGATACCACGCGGCCTTTTCCTGGGCCATGGGGCGAGCGCCGGCAGCAGCCCCTCAGGCCTGCAACTGGCCCCACAGCATGACGGGCTGAGCCCGGCCGAGGTTTGGCCTGACGGACTGTGCTGTGGGAATTAGCCACCCTGAGAATGCTGCTTGGGCTGGTGCTGCGGCGACAGTACCACCGTGGGGCAGGGGATGTGACTGTCACAGAACAGAGGCTGGCAGGGCACCCAAAATCACTAGGCACATTTTGGGCCTTTATCCGCTCCTGCCTGGGGGGCACCAGGCACAGCCTGTACTTTCTGGTGGCTGCCTCCTACTTGCAAAATAAAGCAGGTTTTTTTTTTTTTTACCCAACCTTAAAATAGAGCATTTTACTGGAAAGGGTGTAATTACAAAAGTTCCCACAGAAAACAACCTGCTTTTCTTTTAAAAACGCGAGAATAAAAAGCCCGGGGCCGGACGCTGACGGGTGGGAACCAGCATCGCTCCGTTCACTTGCCAGGAGCCCACGGGGCTGCTCCGGGCCAGGCGGAGCCCACGGAGCATGTGACGCCGACTGACGACCCGGCTCCGGCGCAGAACCTGCTTAACACGAACAGATCCAGAGCCACCCGAGGCCCTGTCCGGAGCGAGAACGGCGGTGCCTCCCCTTTGCCCTGCAATTCCAGCACCCTGCAGAGGCAGGAGAAGCGTCACCGTCCCAGCCTCGGAGGCAGGCCCTGCTGGGGCGGGAGCCCACGGAGCATGTGACGCCGACTGACGACCCGGCTCCGGCGCAGAACCTGCTTAACACGAACAGATCCAGAGCCACCCGAGGCCCTGTCCGGAGCGAGAACGGCGGTGCCTCCCCTTTGCCCTGCAATTCCAGCACCCTGCAGAGGCAGGAGAAGCGTCACCGTCCCAGCCTCGGAGGCAGGCCCTGCTGGGGCGTTCCCTCCGGAGCACGGCTGGGCCATCGCAGAGGCCGGCCCCGGGAGCCCATGGCCTGGCACAGAAGAGCCCTTTGCGTATTTCTCACTCCCCTTCAGCAGCAGGAAGAGGCCTGGCGTGATCCCGCTTCCTTGGGCCAGGTCGCCGCATGGTGCCGCATGCGGGGACCTCGCACCTGCCCGCACAGTTGAGTTCCCCTCCCCTGCCCCGCTCCTGGCACAAGTCCTTGGGGCCCCTCCTCCGCCCCCCTGCCCCGTCCCCCCCCCTTCCGTTCTGCCCCCAGGACTTTCCTCCTCAGCTCTGGGCGGGAAGGTCACATTCGCTCCAAGTTCCCCCGAGAGCGCGGGCTGGGCCACGGCCGGAGTGCTCTGTCCAAGGCGTCGCTGGTTGAATGGCTCACGAAAGCAGCAGCGAGACGCAGAGGGCAGCGTCCCCCCGCCACTGCTGGTGTGCGCGCCACGTCTCGGGAGCCACGGGGATTAGAGCGTGGTGCCCTGGCTGAAAGGTCTTGCAGGAGGCGCTTCCCAGCCAGGTGTGGCCCGTGGCACGAGCGGAGGGGAGAGGTGAAGCAGCTCCCCGGAGTCAAAGGAGAGTGCAGAAGATGCTGCCCTCACTGTGGCAGTCCCTGTCCATCCGTGCAGCGATCCTGGTCGACACGGTGGGGCCTTTCTGCGCGTTCCCTCGAGGTGAGGCCGGGCCGGAGGGTTCTCCAGAGTCCGTGCAATGTCACACCTGGAGAAACACAACACCCGCCCCCGCAAGCAACCATTAGCTCCTGGGAAGGGGCCCGCGGTCACGGCTTGAAAAATCGGAGTCGACATTTTGCATGACAAGGAACACGCAAAGAGGCAGAAGTAAAGGGGCCCCTCGATGGAAACGCCCTCGCCCCTCCTCCACCCACATTTCGTTCCGGCCCCAGCAGGACACGGTGTGTTTCACTCTGGAATGTCAATGAAACGCCAAATTTGGCCGAGAAAAAGGGAAAAATCCAAAGGCCTGGGTGAGATTTTGTTCCCAGTCTTTCAGCCCCTTCTCCGTGTCAGCACAGGGCTCGGGGACGGGGCAGGCAAGGGAAAGAAAGTGGGAAGTCGCCGGGGGCGGTACAAGTTCCGGCCCCAGCAGGACACGGTGTGTTTCACTCTGGAATGTCAATGAAACGCCAAATTTGGCCGAGAAAAAGGGAAAAATCCAAAGGCCTGGGTGAGATTTTGTTCCCAGTCTTTCAGCCCCTTCTCCGTGTCAGCACAGGGCTCGGGGACGGGGCAGGCAAGGGAAAGAAAGTGGGAAGTCGCCGGGGGCGGTACAAGGCAGCCCTGCCTAGCCGGGCGCATGCGCGGGTCCCCCTGCCTGGGGGTGTCCCAGCCAGCCTCCTGCCAAGGGCCAGGTGGAACCACGGGCCCTGTGCAGGGGTGAGGAGCCCCCACGGGAGGGGGAGCCGGTGGGGAGCATTCGGGGGCTGGCATTAGAACAGGAGCGGCAAGTCTCTCTTCTCCCCTCAGGGGGCCAGATTTCCCCAGCCTGAGTGATGCTCCCGGCCATAGGCTGGCCCCATTGCAGGGCTCCCTGCTCAGCCTGGGCAGCGCCCGGGCAAACGGCCCCCTGGAGAGGGGGGAGGGCAGTGGAGCCGGGCTGCTCCAGGCTGAGGGGCAGCGCCCGGGCAAACGGCCCCCAGGAGGGGGGAGGGCAGTGGAGCCGGGCTGCTCCAGGCCGAGGGGCGGCCCCGGGAGGGGGTGGGCAGTG